ATCAAATGTAAGATAGCACCTTTAAATGATTCTAACCTACAGACATTATTTTAAAATCCTATTAAAATTTTAAAATAGTTTCACATATATTCCTCTAAATCAAAGATGAGAGTAAAATACTTTCTGTGCATATATTGGAGTTTCTGTGTCTTTTTTTTCTTATCATTATTTCTTATTGAGTTGGGAAAGCCATATGAACTTCAAATAAGTAAAAGGAGCTAAATATTGAACTATTATTCTCGATACCAATCTTTCATCCTTTATATCTTTTTTTAAATTTATCTGTTATCCAACTTGGGGCAAGGCATTTTCTTGATTTTTTTTTCTGGAAACACATAGCATATATATCATATATATCTCTCCTTTGGCATTTCATGAGTAGAATGCATATGCTTAATAACTACAGTGAAACAAAAACTGAAAAAAAATTTTAACTTTCCACTTTATATAGTACCCAGTATAAAGACATCACTAACCTGCTTATGTTATAATTATTAGGGAGAATTTTTAAAACTCACGGTATCCTGCTTCAACATATTTTTAAAATAAATCACTTAATTTTAAAGAAAATAGAACATTTTAATTTAACCCTTAAAATTTTGTATTGTTCAAACTGCAGTTTCAGCCAATTATTAAAATGGAGTTTCTCCTATAATTTACCCCCAAATTTGGTCTTAATTATATGTGTTATGGCTGCAGAGAAAGACATTTAACTACCAGTGAAAATAAAATAACACTCAAGATCTACCCTGTCTGATAGAGTAGCTACGGTCACAGGTGGGTACTTAAAATCACATTAATATTAATGTAAATGATGTAACTTTAAATAGTTCCTCAGTATTGCTAACCATATTTCAAGGACTCATTAGTCACAACTTGGATAGTGACACCCATTCATTGGACAATTCAGTCATGGGACATATCTATCTTTGCAAAAGTCTATTGGGCAATACTAGACTTTTCTCCAATGTTTACTTTTAAACTTCTCTTCATTGTTTCTCTTCCATTTCCATCTTCTGACTTCTTACTAACTGCCTTTTCCTGCCTCGTCAGTTGTTCTTAAATCTGACCCACCAGGGGACATTCACAGTATCTGAAGATACTGTAGTTGCCACAGCTGGGGGGAAGGAGCTTCTATCATGCCTTGATATAGGCTATGATTCTGGTAAACATCCTATAATGAACAGAAAAATTCCCCCACCCCAGACAAAGAGTTATGAGTCAATTGTGCCAAGATTGAGAAACCTGGACCCACACTATACTCTAGCTTGAGGCCAATTTTGCCATGTTTATTAAAAATTTGGTCACCATAAGTCTATGCCTTTTGATTGCTCCCCAAAAAATTAATGCACACTGTCCTCAACAAAGCAATACACTCTTGCCAACTGAGGCCTAGCACCCAAACTCCCCACTAATCTGAAAAATATACTGAAAGCTTCATTACCATAAACTCATAATTTTCCAGAAGAAGAAACTTTCTCAAACTGGTTAGATTAACGATTTTTATTCCTTTAGATTATGTGCTACATGAGGGCAAAGTCTGTGTCTTTTCTATTTTTATTTTTTTCCTTTCTCTAAGAGTTAAGATATATACATATATATCTTAACTCTTAGAGAAAAGGTAGGGAGAACAAAGCAAGAAACATGAGTTACTCTCATAAAATAATGATGACAAAAATCATCTGAGTATGTACATATGTGACTCAGTGTGTGTGTATGTATACAGGGAAAATAAGGATTACACAGTTGTTTGGTAATATGAGTTACTTAAGGGAGTGACATTGTTATAGGAAAGAAAGAAAAGAAAAAAAATATGCAAAACTGTTACAAATCATGATTAAGGTTGAAAGTTATATTTGAATCATTTAAATAGCAGAGCATTTAAGAACTATCTGAAACGGAGCAGATGAAAGGAAAAGCATGAGAAGACCCATTAATTAACAGATTTGCAGTCTCGAAGAGAAACAACTAATCAGTCAGAAATAAACTGTTTCATATAGTAGTAAATCCTCTGAAAAATTCTGGCAATTAGGAAATAGGTTGATAGACCCAGTCCTGAGTGCTGAGAAGATGTAGGGATTTAGGGAACTGAATTTTTGATTCAGTGGATATTACTGAAAGCGACAAGATTAGACTTGACCGCCTAGGCAGAGAAGGTAGGGAGAGACTTAAGGAGTGCACTCTGGCATCCACAGACTAAGATATAGAAAAGCAGCTCAAGGAGATGACTGAGAAAGCAAGCCCATGAGGAATCAAAGGGGAGATTTTCCCTTAAATATCAGTGCTAGGGGAGATGAGAACCAAGGGTCAACCCATGAATTAGCAACACAAAGTCTGCCGATGGTCCTCTTGAGAACAATGAAGAGGGTTGGCAAGGATGAACATCTACCTGAGATGAACACTACTGAGATGAGCCCAAAAGAGTAGAGATGAGGAAGTGAGATGAAAGACAGTGAGTTTCCCTGTAAAGTATATTGTGGGGGTGCTACAGGTGACAGAGGCAATAAATGAAGCAGCACAATGGGGTGGGCCATGGTTTTAAGGATTTTTAGTTTTCAAGTTCATGTTGAAACTGTTCCCAATTCAACCGTTTGAAGAGGTGTGGCCTTTGGAGGTTGATTGGGTCATGAGGGTTCCATGTTTATGAGTGGGAGTGGGATTAGGTACTCTTACAAAAAAGACTGGTCAGAAGGAATGTACCTTTCTTGCCTACCCCTCTTGCCCCACCCCATTTTCCACCCTGTGAGGACACAGATTCCTCAAACTCTGGAGGAGTCAAGAGCAAGCTGCCACACTGCAGGTGAAGACTGAGCTCTCTCCAGACCCAACTTGCCAGTGTCTTGGACTTTCAGTTTCCAGTACGGGGAGAAATAAATTTCTCTTCTTTAAGAATTGCCCAGTGTCAGGTATTTTGTTTCAGCAGCACAGACAAAGACAGTATCCTTGAAGGTTTTTTAGGAAGTCATGTTTGTGCACTAATTTTAATAAACTAGCAGGATGAAAAAAAAATCCCTGATTCAGGAGAAAGAAACAAAATTGCAAGTGAAAACTCAATGAAAAGAAGGAAAAACATCCAATATGTAAGGAAAAGGTCAGGCCTAGACTGGAGAAGAAACAACCAGATATGTTCTTATCTGAAAGCATACATCAGTGTATCATGACAAGGTGCTTTCTCCTAAGGGTAATTCTGAAGTTATTCCACTGCATCTTCTTAAAATCAATACAAAAATTGATCACACCAGTTGTGCACAAGCCAAAGGTCCTTGACTGGCAATTCCAATCAAGAAAACAATGAGTTTTTGGTGGTGGGAGACATATATGTAAATTCTCCAAATAATAGACTAAAAATGATGAGAATATATATAAGTGAAACACATAAAAATATTTGAATAGAGTGAATATTAATATTTTAGTTATTCTATGATTTAATCATCATTAAAAAACAAAAAAACTCCAAGAAACAAACATACCTACTTTTTTATTCTCCAGTCTAGGCCTGACCTTTTCCTTACAGATTAGATGTTTTTCCCACTTTTCATTGAGTTTTCGCTTGCAATTTTGTTTTTCTCCTGAATCAGGGATATTTTTTTCACCCTGCTGAGTGTGGCAGTAATCCCAGGGACTCACAGTTTGAGGCCAGCCTCAGCAATTCAGCAAGGCCTTAAGCAATTTAGCAAGACCCTGTCTCAAAATAAAAAAAATAAAATAAAAAGGACTTGGGGTGTCACTCAGTGGTAAAGTGTCCCTGAGTTCAGCCCCCAGTGTTGGGGGAAAAAAAATTCCAAGGAATGTGTACTCATGTTTTTAAGGAAAAAAAGAGATAATTTTTATCTAAACCAGAAGAACTTCATACTGCAATAGCTATTATACTGTTTAGCAAAACAACCCATGATTTTAAAGTCACTGATAATCAATGTTCTTCTTTTCTCATATCTCACACCAACAAGACATCAATATTGTTTCGTATCATTTAAAATGAGAAAAATGAAAGTCCTCCTTTTTTGTATCCTTAAATCTGGAGAAATATTAAGCTTTGCCAACATAGACAGAATTTAAAAAGCAGCCAGAAATACAGCTATCTTTTGCATTTTTTAATAAAATTTCAAAGAAAACAAGTGAAGGTTCATCCCCCTAACTGTAGGCACAAAACTAAGCAGTCAAAAAGTTCATATAAACTTGCTAATTATAGAAATAATAAACTAATTTTGAACAAAATTGTTCAATTTTACTCTATTTATCACCTTTGGTTTTTTCATCCACGATTACCCAAATAATGTACATTTACTTCCACATATAAGCTAATACTTCCAAAGGAAAAAATCTACAATAATAGTTATCAGAGATCTTAAAACTTTCAGGCCTAAAGCATTAAATACCATCTCAACTTTGCTAAATTTTTATTCAGTTTTCTTCATAGTAAGAATAGTAGGATGGTTTAAGCATCTTCAACAGACTCAGAAATAGGAGTTCACAATATTTTCTTTCCTTTCCTTTGCATTAAGTTAGCTCAAATGATAGCAAAATATCTTCTTACTGAGAAAAATGATTCTGATAAAATTGTACTTTAACATTCAGTGTTTTTAATTGCAACTGGTCTTTTAGGTAAGTGAAAAACACCCAAATGAATCTTTTAATCATTTTAAACTTTTAATTCAGTCAGAAAATGATGTTCTAAGAATCCAAAGGTGGAAAATATTATAGAAACCCAAATTGCATCAACAAAAGACATTTTAAATTCAGGGAGCAAGACAATGGTATGCTTAGATTTTAGAACTGATATATTTTTATAAATCAGTCTAACACTTTAGGTTTGAACAAGTACTTAAATCTAAAAATAACAGAGTGGATGACATAACCTGAGTATAGAGAAAAACGTACCCATGGAAACCAATTTTTTAAAAAATGGACACAAGAGTTATGAGGGGATTATCGTTTTAATAGATTCTGACTTACTGCTGGTTTTTGTTGTTTTATTTGTTTTTTCAATTTGAAAGGCTTACCATCTTGCTGGCCATGAAGAGTCTGGGGACTTTGCATTCTTTCCTCAAGATTGGAGCTAAGATCAGAGTTCACAGCTGACATCCGTGTTGAGTCACTCATGTCAAATTCATCACTTTCTATTGAACTTTCATCCTGAAAATGGTTTTAAAATAACATCAAGTGTCATAAAATATACTACATTCAAACAATGACCATTTTATCTACATGGTCAGTTAGAGGTTATCCAGTAATAAGCTTTTACAGAACTCAGTATAATACATTCATGCTAATAGATGATTGAAATAACAATGAAGTGATTTCTTTTTTCAAGCAATTTTAAGACTGGTGAATATTCAAACAATATATGTATGCACATGCATATTTTAAAGACAAAATAATGTTTAGGGAGAATGTAGTTTGGAAAATTGCCTGAGGAGTTAAAGAATGAATTTTTTCAGCAAATGCCTCCTAAAAATGTCAACCATAAAATATAACATAAAGAGAAATATAAGCTTTTATTAAAAACAAAATGACTTGATAAAATATTATAAACACAAATCTTAAAATGAAGTAGGAAAGTTTTCATAAAAATTTTCACTGGCAAACAGGATTGAGTCTAATAATAGACAAAAATACATGTCTAGAGTCAAAATCTGCATTTGACATATAGTAAGGCAATCTTGATATATCATCAATCTTTGCTTATCAGTGAATATAAACTGCACTGCAACCATAAAACATGAGTTCTAAGTAAAATTGTGCAAGATTCATTTAGGAAAATCAGTTCACAAAATGGCTTAATTACCAAAAGGTCATTTCACCAAATGACAATTTCAATAAAAACCTATAAAATACTAACTTGAACTAAATCTAGGATATTTTGCTTTAGTTATTTCACCAAAGCAAACTCCTTGGAGAACTAATTTTTTGATAAATGATGTGCTTAAAGAGCAGGGAGTGCTGAGAAACCTGGGTCAAATGTAAATGTTTCTTCAAAATCACCAAGCTAGACTTTAATTTGTAAATGTCTGAACTGAAAGTTTAACATTAATAATTAGCAGCTGCAATGTGAGTGCTGCAATTTTTTTTTTCAGACACTGGTCTTCCTATCTGCTCACTCAGTCATCAGCACAACCTGTAAGCTAGGAACTATGATTCACACAATTCTATTAATGAACTTGACGCACAAAGAAGTTAAATAACTGTCCCTGCTACATATCAGAACAAGGACTCATATGAAGTCACCCGGGCTTGAGGAAACAGCTTCTTTGAATAGGAAGAGTTACCTTGGTTTCAAAAAATAACATGCTGGTATCAGCAAAGAAGCTGCCATTGTTAGGGGGCAGGAGAGTTCTAGTAGACTAATAAACTGGCCTTCATAGGTTCATAGGTCAGGCCCAGGTGATTTTGATGCCAATTCTTCACCAAAGGTCTGATTGTGTCTAGGTTTGCTAAGTAGCACTGGCTCTTCATTAATTCAGTAAGGAAATGCTACCTTGGGAGACCTTTGGGCAATCTGTCACATAGACTTCTGGTGACATGAACTTTCTCTTAGTACATTATTTTTCACAATTCTAAGAAAATCCAAAGTGTATCTGTGATTGATTTTATATATATATACATATATATATATATATATATATATATAATGTGTATATGCAATCTTATGAAAAATCCTAAATGATTAATTCAGTCACACATTATTTAGTAAAACAATGGATACAAATTTATGAGCAGAAAAATGGCATGTTCAGAAATGAGAAAATTAATTTGCCTATTAATTTGTGTAAGGTAGGACTGGTGTGGGAGAAATTGGAGGTGGGTATATATTTCATAAGATTGTATATACACATTATAATATATAATGTGTATATACATACACACATATAAGAAAAATAAGAGACTCTAATGTGGACTTCAAAGTAATCAGTGTTACCATATTCATGTACATACATATACAGTTATTCTTCACATATAGTATACATAGTGTCTGTGCTACTATAACATTTTAGAGGATATTCTCAGGAACCAGACTTCCTGGATTTCAACCCATGCTCTGCCATATATTAGATGTTTTACCTTGAGCAAGTTACCTTTCGGTTCCTCCATTTCTCTACCCATACAGTGGAAATAATAGTAGTACCAATCACTAGGGTTATATGAGGATTGAGGGTATATTTAAAATAGACAGAATATGTCAGGCACAAAATAAGCACAATATAATTTTATGATATTGCTATGCAGAATATGTGACAAATTTTAGAGTAGAATAAGATGCACATATAATATATGAACATATACAATACAATAAAATAAATTTTAGTAGCATAGTAAAGGTGAACAATACTATATATATATATCATACAATAATTAAAATAAAAATAATAAAAGGGAGATCAGTAGAATACAGCAAGCAAATCAGGGAGAGGGAGGAGAGGAGAGGAAGGGAAGGTACTGGGGAATAAGATGATCAAATTATGTTACATGCATGCATAAATATGACATAATGAATCCATTATGCATAATTATAATCCACTAATAAAAAAGAGAAAATGTGTTTCTAACTTCTTTTGTGTTCCACATTAACAGTCTTTATGAATAATTCTTACTATGCCACAAAAAGATGATCACATATTACCTGCTTTCATAGCATTTATATGTGTGAAAAATGCATATGTATGTGAGAATGTGTCTGTGTATGTGTGTGTGTGTAAAGAAGAGTTAGACATTCGATTCAAGTCACATTCTATGAAATAGTTGAACAAACTGCTATAACACATTATAGATAATCAATAAACATTTTATCACCACTTAAATGACACTTAAATGTCACTTAAATCAACACATTATAGATAATCAATAAACATTTTATCACCACTTAAATGTCAGCACCCTTTTAAAGAAATTTGAACAGGAGATTAAAGTATTATGTAACCAAATGTACTGTTATATACTTTTGTTCTTTAAAAAATCAGCAATTTAAAAATATTTATTATCACAAACAACTTAATGATTGAGAACATTTTAAATATTTCCCTCAATTTTGACCTATGAAATAAAATCCACTTGTCATAGTTCTCCTTATTTAAATATCAATTGCTATGCACTTTTATGAAGAGCTTTAATTCAATGAAGTGCAAGTGTTCATTCTGTAAGTTCCATTCCAATTATTCATCAAATTATTCTCTTTTAATAAAAAGGTAGCAAAAGTTTATGAAATATCAGATTTGGGTTTTTCATCAACATAGAAATAATGCTAATCATTATTTCCAGGGAAGCAGCTAGGGAAGGTTTCGAAGAAAACCATGGTCAGCTACTATAGTAATTGTCTCCCTGAAATTTAGTTTCAGAAAAATCAAAACAAATATTTTAGTATAATAATTTTCTGTCCTTTTAAAAAATGTACTTACTTATGTTTAAAATTTTTATTGTTATGCTTCTGTCTCTTTTGAGAAGTTGCTGGAAATGGAGACATCTGATAAACTCCATGTTTCACTGCAGTTCCAAGTTCCAGATTTTGCTTCTAAAGAGTCTGGACCATATTACCACTGACTCCCATTGCTATTGTCCTGATTGGTTCAAAATCTCACTTTCCCTTTGCTGAACCACATACTAATAGATCCCTAATTATCCTACCCACCTCCAATTTCTCCCACACCAGTCCAACCTTACACGTATAGGCAAATTGATTTTCCCATTTCTGAACATGCCATTTCTCTGCTCATAAATTTGTAGCCATTGTTTTACTAAATAATGTGTGACTGAATTAATCAATCTCATCTTTCTGGAGTTGTTTTTTTCATTTACTTATGCTCAAGTCAAATTAAAGTCTATATTATTAACATTGGTATGAAATACACCACTTCAAATTTTATTGTGCACATATGTATAGTTTGTTACAAATTCAAATCTCCACATCTCACACTTCAGACCTGGAACTAGAATCTTGGTTGGGTTCCTACAACTCTAGTTCAAAAAAGCCCTGGATGTCTCTAATACTGATTGTTTGACCAATGCTCTTCCAGAAAATATTCTGTGATGCTGGAATTGCTCTATAGTAGTCTGTAGTCAAAAAGGGAACTACTAGCCATACGTGGATAGTAAATACTGAAATGTGGTCAGTGTTACTTAAAAACCAAATTCTGAGCTTTAACTAATTTTGACTAAGTCTCAATTAAATTTAAACATTCACATGTAAAGACTACTATATTTAGAAGTACAAATTTGCCAATTCTTCAATGGTAGATCTTGAAAATACATCCAAGCATTATTAGAAATACATAAACCTAAAACATGAATGGATTGGTGTTTGACATTTCTTTGTATAAATTTCTAGTTAAAGCATATAAATATATTTAAATTTTTGAGGTGGGGGGATACCATGGATTGATTGAACTCAGGGGCACTCGACCACTGAGCCACATCCTCAGCCCTATTTTGTATTTTATTTAGAGATCAGGTCTCACTGAGTTGCTTAGCACCTTGCTTTTTGCTGAGGCTGGCTTTGAACACATGATCCTTCTGCCTTAGCCTACCAAGCCACTAGGATTACAGACATGCACCACTGCGCTCGGCTATTAAAAAAATAATAATAATAATTATTGTCAAACTCTTCTCCAGAAAGTTTGTTTTAATTGCAACTATCATCAACAGTTTGTTAGAAAGTCAACTGTATTTCAAAAAATCTTTCTCAGTGTGATAACTCCAAATAAGTTAATTCATAAAAATTTATTTTGGCAAACATAGGAAGTTGGTTTTTGCATGGTTTGTGATCATTGTAGTAGACAGTCTCCAAGGATAGCTTCATTAGCTCTTTCCTCACTGTACACTGATGCCATTACTTAGGTCAAAAGTCAGTCTCAATCCCCCCCCCCCTTCCTTAAAAGTAAGCTGGCTTTGTTATTTTTGTTTTTAATTTTTAGCCAAAAGAATGTGTCAGAAGTGATGTTATGACAGACCCAGAAAACCAGGGAGTTTCTGCTTCCTGTCTCTTGGGAATTAGCTGCCATGGAAGAAATCTGACCACCCTGGGGTTGAGATACCTTGAGGAAGCCCCATGCTAGCTAGATAAATAGAGATTATGTAGAGGAGAATTTAGGAATCAGATATTTACGGGAAGCTTTTTTGGACCATTTTAGTTTAATTCAGCTGCC